TCGTCGCTACGGGCGTGCCTTGGCCGCGATGCCTCGGCACTGACGCGCATTATCACGTGGCAGTTTCCGGCGCCAGTGGTGACCACCCATGCGCGCCGCCAGGTCGTGATGGCCATCGACGTCGACCGCACCACCGACGACGTCCGGGGCGTGGATCTCTTGGTCGAGACAGCGCCAGCGAAGCGAGCCTCGGCCACGCGGCAGCTGGAAATGATGATCTGCGGGTCGATCGAACGTCCCGAGGTGCGTGTCTCTAACAACAGCGCAGATGCATCACGGCGGCGTTGTAGCTTGATGGTCCCCCGAGTGTGCGGCGACGCCGTCGGTCCGTGAGTGAAAGCTCAATGGCGGACCTCGACAATGAGCTTACAAGTGGCGCGCGGAGCAATCAGGTCGAGAGCGGCATTCCGTCGTTGCCGCTTCGGGACAAGCTCGCCGTGTACGCGCCCTGACCCCGCAAAATGGATCTCACGAACCACCATTTGGACGTAGGCTCTCCAAGAACTTACTCCAGCGAAAGACCAAAACACCCGCGTAGTCGTATTTGTATTCCTGTTTATTGACGTCCTTGATATCATCAGAACTTCATCAGCCAACAACGCAACAAGGTATCCCACCATCCTGGCACCATCCCCACAAGGCAAGTGATGTGCACGGAACGGATCGACCAAGGCTATCCGCCGGTGCATGAGTAAACGTCGATCTTCGAAAGAACGACTAACCTTCGATGTACGGATAAGCGGGAGTCGCGGCTCGTGGGGCCGGCTCCTGGACTAATTCAGTTCTTATCTTGCTTTCTGGTGCGCGCGTGCGAAGGCCGCTCGGTGTGCCAGGACTGGAACCACCTCGCAAGGCCCGGGGAAGACAGTCAGCAAGTGTCTGCTTTCGAGTATGGCCGCGGGTGATGACGACACACTGTGTAAAGGCTTTCCAAGCGTCGCCGTCGGTGACAAAGCTATGCAGCTTGTTGAGGTCATCCAGAGACGCCAGCGACTGAGGCGGCGTCAACGACTGGATGTCGCGGTGTAGGACGATCGGCAACGCGATCTTGGCGCGGCCTAAAAAACGGGGTGCCTCGGTCGGGTCTAAGAAGCGGGCGGCGTGTCCTGCCACCCGCGACGCAAAGTGGCTTCTCTCGTTTTGGCTCTCAATCTGACGTCGTCCACTTGCACTTTCTAGCTACATCTTTAGCCAGAGCAACTTCCAGATCGTCGTAGTGCTCCTACCCGTTACCACTTGTGGTGACGTCAAGCAGAGCTGGAAAGTATGTGCGCGCGGAATGGAGTGGCCCGAGCAGCTGTTAAAAAAGGCTGCGTCGTCATCGTCGCAAGAGCGAGCTGTACATGGGCAACCACCGCTCCCGTCGACGATGAGGCGGCAGCATTCCAACGGCTGCTCGAGCCACTCCATTCCGCGTGTGCCTCGCATTGAGAGTAGAGAACGACGTGCCGCGCTGGCACAAGGAAGCACACAAGCAAGAACTGCGCTGCGACGCGAAGAAGCAGCAGACCCTGCGGTCGCCCGTCGCCGTCATGGCTTGGTGAAGAATGCACCAGTGCCAACACTCGTGGATTCGATTGCTGTATCCGGATGCCTGTGTGCTGGCAGGCTGTGATGAGCTCATGTACCGAACAATCTCCAACGGCCTTGTTCGATGATGGCTTCAGACCAGTACACAACGGCACGGAGATTTCAACGCTGCATCCCAAGACCAAGCCGCGCCCAGTCCCAGGCAGTCGGTGGAGCCCACGGCTAGCGAAGAAGGTGGTCATGGCCATGGTGCACCGGGCAAGCGACATACGCCCGAACTCGGTACGATGGCCTTGCGCCCGGATCGACGACAAGCCATCGATAGCAAGGTCTCAGCTTGGTGGCAAGGGATGAGCCATCCAAGCGCTGTGATTCAGAATGATGGTCCATCACGATTGGCCGTTTATCCGGAAGGCGCGCCTGCCTATCAAAACCAAACGGCAATCTGGGTGTTTAACCAATACATTTAACGCGTTTTTTACGTCGCGTCCGCACGCGAGGATCAATCGCAACGCTCTGCGAGGCTGAACAACGGTGTCTTTGGCATATCATTAGCTGCCACAGGCGTTTCCACGCGCTTTTTCGGGCAAATGACGTACTGGGCGACAGTGTCGGCCGTTTAACGTTCTTGGACAATATGCGTCAATCCACTAAAACCTTGAAGCTGCACTGGCGTTCGTCTGATCCGAACTCGAAAGGATGCTGGCCGGCGATAGCGAGACGGTGCTGTACAAGCGCGAGTCCATCGGGCGCAAGGCCGTCGGCGTCTGCGCGCTCATCGCGAGTGCGGCCACCGTGCCCTTCAAGGACGCGATCGCAGGCAAAGTCGCAGGTGGCGTCGCGTGCATGGTGCTCTACTTCTCCATCATGGACATGTCGTACAGCTACAACGTCAAGCGCTTCACGGGCGTCGCCGGCGCCTTGACGCTCTTCATTGCCGGCGCGTGGCTCGCCTTGAGCCCCGTCTTGCCCGAGTGCTCGGCGTCGACGTGCGCGGCTGCGTACGTTGCGATTGTCTTTCTCTTCCTCGCCGCCGTCGTGCAGGCCACGTCGCTTCGGTTTGTGAGCCCGAGGGCGCCGTCCGTCTCCAGCGAAGACATCTTTACGCGCAAGCGAGCTGAGGAGGTTCTCCAGTTCCAGCTGCGCCTCGATGTCGTGTTTGCAGGCCTCTTCACGGTCGCCGCCATCGTCATGTCGTCTGTGGCGCCCAATGCCACCTCGTTCGTCGTCGCAGCCTTTCTGCAGGCGCTCCAGACAGCAGGGACATACGTCATCCTGCAGAGCGTGCGCCGAACCGACACGCGTATCGAGGCCACCTACATCGAGTCCGTTTAGAGGACTCTTCTGTACTTTGTGTAATCAAACGTGTCTTGTCAGTTGTTCAGGGGGTAACGCGGTTAGCTATAGCTATAGCAGTGGCGCGTTGGAGATGCTCTAAGTTACCGTACTTACCTCATGGGGTTTATTTTAAAGTGGGTCATCGACTATTAGCCACTTGACCGACCGTCAAACGTGTCTTGTCCGACGTCATGTCATCCACTACCGACGGCTAGCAGCGTGGCACCGTAGAGCTCATGCTTGTGGGCTCGTGACGGGCTCGATGGGACGGGTCGGATGCGCATCTTCATGTTTTCCAGTGGCCGCCAAGCTCTGTGCAGCGCTAAAGATCTCATAGCTTCTCAATGTGTCCGCACCACCGCACCCACACGCGGCCCTCGGTGTGCTACCCCCTGGTTGCATGCACGCACTCGTCTCGCGCCATACCACAACGTAGAGAAGGCTATCAGAATAAGACAGTCCCATGGCGATCTACCAGTAACATTATGTTTTCTTTTTAAAGCGAAAGCCGGATCGGATTTGATCCAGGAGCGACTTGCGTGCAGGGGGTGACGGCGGAGCTTGCGCTACAGGCGCCGGTGCGGACGTCATTTGCGAAGCCGGGGACATACCATGCGGCGTTCTGGATTTACGGGCTTTCTTCAAAGGCGAGCCCGGTGCTTTCGGCGGTGCGGCGGGCGCTGGTGTCTGGCTCGGCGCTGCGAGCGACGACTGGCTTAAATACAGACTCGTTTGGTTGAGCACCGCCGGTGAGTGGCCTTCGGCCGTCATGAAATTCTTGACTTCGTCGTGGGAGAGCCCGAGCTTGAGGAGGTTGTTGAACTTGGCGCACATTTCAAAGTCGATGGCACCGGGGGCAGGCAGCGGCACCGACGACGACGACGACGACGGTGGCGGCGGCGGTACGTCCGAGGTCGGCGCGTCGAGGTCGTCCGTGTCGTCGTCGTCGTCATCTTCTTTTTTCGCTTGGATTTCTTCTTCTTCTTCTCGTCCTCCTTCTTGGCCTCGTCGAGCGACGCCGTCAAGCGCGTCTCGATCTTGTGGGCCTTGAGGTGTTCACGGTACTTGGGAAAGTTGCGTGCGTCCAGCCGCGTCCGGCGCGGGTCGGTCAAGTACGAGATCGGCGGCACGTCTGGCTTGCCCGATGGCACGGTGGGCAGCGCGCGGTGGGCCTTGGCCCGCGCCTCGTACTCTTCTTGGCGCTTCTTCTCCTTCTCGAGCGCACGCGCCGCCTTGCGCTTGTGCTTCTGGAGCTTGAGCCCCTCGTGGCTCTCGGGCTCGGTCACCGCAGTGATCGACTTGACCCACAGCGTGCCTTCGATGCGGTTGCGTGCGGCCGCCGGCACCTCGCTCCCTTTTTGCGTCACGATCTTGAACGAGTTTTCGTGGGCCCCAAACATCGTTTCGCCGCTCCACTCCTACGTGGCAGCGTGAGCGCGCTGCGTATGAGGTACATGCATCGGCGGCGTACCTTAACCTTGATGACACGCGTCTGCTTGACCGTCGTGCCGGGGCGGGCGGTGGCCGAGGCTTCGTCAGCGTACAGCCGCAGCACGCCCGTGTCCGTGAAGACGCAATAGTACTCTTGGCTACGTAGATGCATCAGACGACGGAGAGCTGCATGGGTGAGATGTAGGTACAAGGAGAGCGCGAAGCGCAGCTGCAGGAGGCCCTCGTACAGCACGTCGCCAGCGTCGTCGGCCATGCTGCTTCCTCTCGCGTTGGTCACACTATGAGCGCTGGCGCGTGGCAGCGTTATAACACTGGAAGCGTAACAGAATCACAGTATTTCTGTGTCCATTAAGTACGAAATAGTATGAAAACTCATCAATTGCATTTTCCAACTCTATTTCCGACTGCGTTGTGAATAGTGTACGGGTGGTCGCTGCACGCCCATCCTGCTCGCGGGTTGCTGTCTCGTCGTCGTCGCCGGCTGGAATCGAACGACCACATCAACATGCAGGTTTGCGAGGTCGTAGATGACGATGGGGTACGTAGCAGCGCCTCGTGCAAGCTTGACTGGTCACGAGCACTGCCCCTTCCTCCTCCGCCGCAGCCTCATGCTGCTGCAAGCGAAGCAGCAGATGTCGTTGGGCAGTGGGAATCGTTGAGCATATCACTTTGGGCAGTATGATGGCCTCTTGGAGCTCATGGCTTGGCCGCTGGCTCCAGTGCTCTTCGTGGGCAAAAGAGCTGGGCGGGATGACGTACGGGCGTGCGTGCGTCGGGATGACCCAGTCACCACCCTCGCGACCGCGATGCAGCCGATCGGTCCGCGCTGAGAGAGGTACACTGTATGTGCCAGGTGGTGGCGCTGTACGTAAGGACCAGCGTAGAAACGCCAAGGGGAGGATCTCGTTGCCGCCATTTGCTGGACACGGAGGAAATAGCAACTACCAACGGTTTATATATATGTGAGAGCTTGCAGGCGACTAGATGTTGCCTGGCTTTTGTCTGAAGTGATGCTTCATGCCGAGCGAGAAGCAGCCTCGGTCGATCATTTGATGCGGAGGAATGAACTAGACACAGCCGAGGATGAGATACCACCTTCTTGGACACGCCGATATACCTGGTCGTCGTCCTTCTCCATGCTGTCAAAGCGGTCTAAATGCCGCCGGTACCGGTCCGCGTCGTCGTACTCACTATCGTACGACGGTTTGCGACCGTGGGGCAGTGGCACCATCGGCACGGTCGACTGCGTCGGCGTGGACGATGGATGCAGCGGGATCTGGATCGGGCCGGATGACGGGTGCGCCATCGACATGGCGCGCAGCCGCCGCGTCTCGGTCTCGGTCGGGCTGCGTCGCTCGTGGCGCGTTGGCTCGTCGCCGCCGTTGGCGATGTGCAGCCGGCTCAGATACTTCATGCGCCACTTTTGCTCGTCGCCCGATAGGAACGACTTGTTGGGCATCGACTGGCTCCGCAGAAGCTGGTCGGTCTCGGGCCGCGCGTCGACGACCGCGCGCGCGACCGGGATCGCATGGCCCGCGGGTTCCTTGAGCTTCTGTAGCACCTGGTCGTCGAGGAGGTAGTCCATGTCGGGCTCGAGGTCCATCGAGAGGTCGTCGTCGCCACCGCCGAAGAGGACGTCTGACTCGTCCATCTCAAAGTCGGTCATCGTCATGCTGCTGCCGCTGCCCGCGGTTCAACTTGTCGACGAAAATCGAAATAAACCCACAGCTGCCCTTTTGCCTTGGAATTTGTATGGTGGACCAATCGACCATATGATTGGCCGATCTGGTTGAACCTTGGCAATCCCGTTTCCGGTATACAAACTGCAAGTCGGCGGTCTTTAACGCGTAAGACGCATTGCGTTTTACCGGCGCGCCGCGGCTTCTTGTGGCCGCGGACGCCTCGCCAAGTAGAGCACATGGGAACACACATCAAGTGCATGCGCCGCACAGCGCTATATGGCCCAGAACTGCTTCTGTAGAGGCGCATTGGCTTCATACGTGTTCCTTGCTGCAGCCAACACCGGCCTCAAGCAGAGAACGAATCGTGGGGTCATCACCACCAACCGTGACCGGTACGCAGCAACGTGAATCGGCATATTTGTTTGTTTTCCAACTACGTTGCTCGCAAGCGCAAACAAAGCACTGGCGATGCCTGCAAGCGACACCTCGAAGTAGCAATGCAATGTCGCTACAGCCACCAACCTGTGGATCTTGTGAGCTTATCGAAACGTATTCTGCGGTTTCAATGGCGCTAAACGTTTCGGTTTAACGTTTAACGTGATGACGGACTGGTTTTGCGCGAATGTTTAACTACGTTTTTTCCAGACGCAGCTGCGTCGGCGCAATGGAATTTTCAGCCTGATACTGGAATTAAAATGAAATATATTTTGGACGCCGAAAGTGGTTCTTGTGGTCGGCCCGGCGGCCGTTCCCGGCGGCAGGGTAGCAGCATGGCAGAGGTACCCGCGCAGTAGTAGCCAGCGCCGCCGCCTTGCTCTGTCGTCCGAGGTTGCGGCGAGCGATCGGCACGGCAGTGCTCTCTGTGCAACTTATTTCCAGGCCAAATCAGATGCAACCACCTTCAACCTCAGACGTTTGATTCTCTACGACGACTACCTGCAGCTACTACGCTGCTTTGTCACGATCATGGATGGCCACGCGCGAATGAGCCGGGCCGCGGTCTCGGCGAACGCTTTAAAGTGCTCGTCGCCCGGCGTGTCGAGGTGGCGCGGCGCGGCGTCGGCCACCGATACGGCGCCAATGCAGACACCGTCCGAGAGGTAGATGGCTTGGCCGCGGTAAGAGCGTACGTCGGCGGGGAGCGGCAATGACAGCGTCGTGTCATCCAAGACGTCGACAACGACGCTACCGCCGGCGTCGATCGCGCGGGCCACGAGCGCGTCGTCGGACACTGGCCCGATGCTCGCCACCAGCCGGACGCCGTCTCGTGTCGCCAGGTGTACGCTGGCGCTACTGCAAGCTACGGCCTTGGCTGTGATTGCGGCCATTATCTGGAGGAGGATCGCGAGCTCCAAATCGGACGAGAGTGCGCGGAGCTGGGTGCTGGAGCAAGCGCGCCGCCGGGCAGCAGGCGACGAGAGAATGGCGGGCCGTCGCCGGTGGCGGATGGGCGACCACTCTTTGATGGCATCGACACACGACGTGCAAATACGCAGCGCGATCGCAGTCTCGCGCGTCGTCTCCAAGACCGAGCACGAGGCGCAGACGTCGTGGTCGCAGAGACGACAAGCGACTGCGGGCAAAAACACGCTGAACGCGGTCAAGCACACGCGACAGCCGTCTTGGAGAGAGCAATCGCCGGCTGCATGCAGCGCCGGCTCGACGAGGTAGTCGGCGAGGCGACTCGCGACAACGAGGCGAGGAATGTGGTCCCAGGCGTCGGCGGCGCGGACGAGGAAGCGCTTGGCGGCGTCCTGGAGGCCGTCGACAAAGCAGTAGCCGCCGAGAAAGCTCAGACGCGTCCGATCGCCAACCGCTTCCATGTGGCAGGCCATCATGAGGCTTTGCAGTCGGCGGATCGGCGGTGTTAGCACGAGCGCATCGGGATCGTCGATGGACTTGACGAGCCAGAGGTAGCTGCCGTCGTCGAGGCGCGCAAAGTGCTCGAGAAACAAAAGCTCCTTCATCTTGGGCTTGGACTTGGTCCCAAAGAGCTGCGTTCGCCCGCTCTCTTCGTACCGAAGACGGTGCAGTCCGGCCGAGAGCGTCTCGGTCGAGTGTGCCAAGCGCGCGGTCGGCGTCGAGATCGTCGTGGACGACGACGACGACGACGACGAAGCTTCCGCGTCCGGCTCGGAGCAAGTCGCGCCGCTCTGGGCGCGTGACCGAACGTACGACGTGTCATCGGCAAAGACAGCGCGCCACAGCGCGTCCGTCGACGTCCACTGCGGCGTCCAGAAGAGACGCAGCACCTCGTCCAAGGACGCTGGCAGCACCTGCGCGCAATGGACGTACTGCACGTGGGCCTTGCTGTCGGCTGTGATGCTGACCTTGGTGCGGCTGCCGTACTGCACGCGCTTGAGCTGGACCGCGTCGTTCTCGCGCCGGATCGCGTCGTGCATGAAGCGCCCGAGCTTCCGGCCGCGACGCCCGAGCTGCGACGCCGAGAGGTCGGCAATCTTGGTCGAGAAGCCCCATGGTCCGTTCGTCGTTGTGGCCGCGGCGGCCGGCTTGCGGCTCGACCAGTACAGCGAGTGGTGGGCACTCTGCGTTGGCGTGCTGAGCCCGATCGGCATGGCTGCTGAACCCAAAATATTGCGCACTGCGGAAATTTGTGAAAAGCCGATAGTTCAAAATCCCACCGTGAAGTGCCACGTGACAGAGCGCGCAAGAGCCAGAAGAAGGGTGAGCAGAAGCGGTGCTTTACCTGTATGCTCGTACATCCTTGGCTATTTAGACAGCGTCGACGATGCATATATCTAGGATAACGGGTGCCACGGCGTCGTGGCCACGTGGATTTGGTGCTAGCAACGGCGTGGGACGATCGCGCCCGTTTGTGCAACGGAGTCAACTGCGCCGCCACCGACGCCGTCAGCGCCGGCGTGCACTGCGATGATGCAGTGCAAATTTGCTGTGAAAAGCATCGCTTCTCGGGAGTGGAAGTGGCGATGCCACCGTCTCCCACGAGCGGGTCCAGCGTGGCATGTGGTGTCGTATCGTTGAAGATAACCGCAGGTGCGCGAGACACATGGCAGCGCGACGTGCGTCTCTCTGGACGTCGGCGCGTTCGATTCCACGACAGGCGCTGCTGCGAGCTGCCGACGTTGGAACCGCTCTCAAGAAGAGAAACGTCCGGTCGAATCATCACATACGCCTTTCCAGTGTAGCCGAGACCAGTGGACGCGCCTGGCGCTGCACCGAGATTCGTCGAGTGCGCTAGCGTGCGATGTCGTCGTGCTATCACCTTGATGATGATGATGATGATTATTATTTCCTTCTTCTTCTTTTCTGCTGCCCCTACCCCTGTGCCTATCCCTCTCGTTTGCTTGTCGTCGAGACACGAACCGAAAGCATCATCTGTTTAGAAACCAAATCGAGAAGAAGATCCAAGACACACACGAGACCGCGTCGCAATCGGTGGCTAAACAGCGACGTGGCGAGCGCTAAAAGTTGTGTCGGCTGTACATCTGGGACCCCAGCCCGCCAGTGGTCGTTGTTGCGGCGATCGGCTTGATCGGCGCGGTCGGGTTGTAGCTGGACTGGAACGGTCGCTTCCCGCCAGAGAAGAGCGAGTCGGGGTTGTTGGCGTCGTTGTTCTCGGTCGCAGCACCCATGCCGGGCGCATACCGTGCTTGGCGCGTGTACCGACTGCCGGGCACGCTCGCATTGTCGGGGCCGCCACTCGGCGGCGGTAGCGGCTCGAGCGACGAGCTGCCAAACATCGTGTTGCCCGCGGCCGCGATCGTATTACGCGGTGCGGCCTTGCCCGACGCCGAGTTGACGCTATTGCTCGAGCGATAATTGGCGTTGGCCGGGTAGTTTTCACTGGGTTGGGCCGGCTGAAAGGTGGGCGGCGGGTACGGGCCGTAGGTCGTGGAGGACGGCGTCTTTTGGGCCCCGCCAGGGGTGGTCGAGGGCGACTTGTCCACGGGCGTGAACGTACCCGCCAGCGACGTGGTCTGTTGTGGAGCGTTGGGGGTGGGGATCGTCGGCGGGATGTTGGCGTTCACTTGGAAGAACGGATATTGCAGCGCTTGGCTCGACGTTGGTCGTTGGTTCGGGTCGTACTTGAGAAAGTCTTGCATGAGCTGGATGGCTTCCGGACTGGCGTGCGGAATGATCGACGCGAGCGACGTTGAGACGAACTGCGGGAAGCGGTAGTTCATTTGTGCGGCGAGCTTCATGCCCTCGGGCCAGCTCGCGTGCGTCGGGTTCCCGAGCACGGAGCAGATCTTGTAAATTTGGTCGCCTTCGCTCGAGCCGGGGAAGAGTGGTCGCAACGTAAACATCTCGGCCATGATGCAGCCCATGGCCCAGGCGTCGATTGGCGAGTTGTACGTCGTCGAGCGCAGTAGCACCTCGGGCGCACGGTACCACCGCGTCGAGACGTAGTCTGTGAACGGCGGCCGTGATCGGATCTCGCGCGCAAGGCCAAAGTCGGCGACCTTGACGACGTCGCCCTTGACGAGCATGTTTTCAGGCTTGATGTCCCGATGGAAGAAGCTGTGCTTGTGCATGAACGCTAGGCCTTGGAGCATCTGGTACCTACATCCCATCGACCACATCAATCATGTGCATGGTAGGACGACGAGATCGTACATGAGGTTGCGGATCTTGGACTCGGGGAATGGCGGTCGCGCTTCTTCATCGTCTCGTACAAGTTGTTTTCCATAAACTCAAACACGAAGAAGAGCTCGTCGTTCTCGCGGATCACTTCCTTGAGCTTGATGATGTTGGGGTGGTTGAGCTTCTTGAGCGACTAGGCGTCATCCACGTGATGAGCATCATCTACCTCGTCGTCGTCGTATGCATGGTCTACCTTGACCTCCCGCAGTGCCATGCACTCTTCCCACGTGTAGAATTTCTTCTTCATCTTCTTGACCGCCACCTACATGCATCGTCTTCCGTCTCGTCCTCATGCGCATGGAGGCGTACGACTTCGCCCGACGTCCGGTTCACGGCCTTGAGCACCGAGCCGTACGTCCCGTCGCCGAGCTGCTTCGTGATCTTGTACCGGTTCATGCCCCGTCGCCGCCCTTTTGCCCACTGAGCCGACGCTTTTTTTAACCCGCCGTTTCGTTGGGAAACCGCAGGATTAGATAACGTTTGAAAGCATTCTCGATTTAAAAAAGAGAGGCGATCCCAGTTCACCAGGCCCCTTGCCGGTACGTACCGGTAGCATCCGGGCCATACCAATGCAGGAATGACCTTGCTAGCACCTCGCGTAGCTACCAGGGTGTAGCTCGTCCGAGCTCTGCAGAAGAAAAAACTCTCGACAGCGTGCGATTCGTCCAAACTGAGGAGCAGCGTGCGACCCGGTTAGCCGAGAAGACGAAGAGGAAAGAGTGGGCTTCTGAGCGCTGCAACACAAGCTCTGGTCCTACATGTCAGGCGTTGCGGATGCACTCTTTGACGTCCATGTCTTGGCCACAACCTGAAATGTTATCCGGACAGCTATGTTATCCGGACAACTGTGCCAATGCATGATGCCAATCATACGGATACGGTGTGTCGGGATGTGGTCGACGACGACAGCGCTCCTGCTCCTCGCGACGGCCGTGGCCAGCGAGACGCTTTGCCCCAATGCGTCGGCGCCAACTCTAACGCTGGTCGCAGGCTCGTCCTGCGAAGGCACCGGCAGCACGCTCTGCTACGTCGACCGCACGTGCAGCACGATGGCCGTCGCGATGCTGACGACCAAGTCGCGTGTCGCCAACGTCTCGCGCGTCGGCGACCTCTCTGCGTACAGCGGCAGCCGCCTGTACGTCCCCGCTCTGTGCTCGATACCATGGTGTCCATTTGTGCACAGGTTTTTTGAAAACAGTCCCCGCTTGGTCTTTGACGAGAGCTTCCAGTTCCCGCCCTACCTCTTCGTCTTGTATCCGGCAACGCTGCGCGGCGAACGCGATGGCTCATACCACGGTTGTCTAGCGGCGTCGAGCGATGCAACGTGAGCGCGCTGCCGCCGATGCCACCCTCAGCGAGCTGTGCGTACTGCTTCCGACCGCATTGCATGACCGTGGCTAGGTACTTGCGCTTCAATCGCCTCACGCGCCTCCCGACAATGCATTTGGCCAAACGTATGTCCGAATTGTACGTCCTATTGGGATGCTACGAGAGACATCAAGCATGTGTCTGTAGCTGGGCCGACAACAACTTGCTCACGGACATGGCGGCGATCCCGATTCCGACCTTTGCACTGTACGTCGTCACGTATGAGTGGTCCGAGCACCTACCTCATGGCGGCTCTAGCGTCCTGGAGAACAACCGCATTGAGCAACTGGTCAACCTCACGCTCGACACCAAGCGACTGTATGACATTTACGATGACCACAGTCTCGTCATCGGAGATGTGTACTAGGTACTTTAGCGGCAACCCCCTCAAGACGATCCAGAACGTCAACTTCTCGTCGACCGTCGACCTCTTGTATGCGCACCTCCAAGAAGCGAGTCCTCACATCTGTCGATGGATGCTAATAGCAACTGCTCGGATTGCCACCTCACCACGCTGTCCTTGTCGCAGTCGTCGTACGAGACGCTCAACGGTCTTCGGCCAGGCCAGTTGCTTCTCGGCTCGACCACCCTCAATGCGTCGGCGTGCAATGCAACCGGCGGCGCCATCGCCGTGCTGCAGACCAACTATACGGCGTGCGTCACGCAGCCCGCCGTCATTCAGGCGCCGACACAGACCACCAACGTCCTGCCGTGGATCCTTCTTGCCGTCGTCGTCGTCGTCGTCGTCGTCGCCTTTGTCACGCGGCGTCACCAACGCCGGGCGGCAGCCCACAAGGCCACGATCGACGACGACAAGAAACGACCGACGCGAACGATTACGTTTCCGTCGTTCTCGGACCGGTCGACGGACTTGGACGCCGACGACGACGATCTCCGGGCCAAGCTCGGCCAATTGCAGCTGCACCGCGTCGAGGTTGGCGAGATTCAGGTCGGAGCGTTCGTCGCGGAAGGCGGCCATGGCGCCGTGTATCAAGGCACGTACCGCACCGACACGGTCGCGCTCAAGACGCTTTCGCCACACAAGATTTCCGCGTCCAACGTCGAGAGCTTCCTCGATGAGATCCTTCTCCTCTCCATGTACTTTCTACTATCTCATTTTTTCGCTCGATCGACTGACTACCGAGTAGCCTCGACTGCCGTCACATCGTGCGGCTCGTCGGCGTTGCGTGGACCAAGCCCGCCGACGTGGTCTGCCTCCAAGAGTACATGGACGGCGGCGACCTGCGCACCCGGCTGCTCGACGACGCGCCGTTTCCGTGGACCGACAAGCTCGTGTGCGTGACGCACCTCGTCGACGCGCTCGTCTACATCCACTCGCTGAACGTGCTCCACCGCGACATCAAGTCCCGCAACATCCTTTACCGACATGACGTGGCAGAGTGGAAGCTCGCTGACTTTGGCGTCGCGCGCGAGGTGCGAGTTTGAGCGTGCGTGCAATATTGAACTATCGCATGTGGGTGGCATTAGGACGCGGACGGGACGATGACGTGCGGCGTCGGCACGAGTCGCTGGACCGCGCCCGAGGTGCTGCAGGGACAGTACTACTCGTCGGCCGCCGACGTCTACTCGTTTGGTAGGCCGGTAGACACTACTGGATTTCGTGGAAATAGGACGACGCTTTTGTAGGCGTCGTGCTCTCGGAGCTCGACACGCATGCGCTGCCGTACGCTGACGTGCTTGGGCCCAACGGACAACCGCTGGCCGAGGCGACGCTCGTGCAGCGCGTGTGCGCAGGGGAGCTCACGCCGACATTTCAAGCGAGCTGTCCGGCGTGGGTGCGCTCGTTGGCGGCCGACTGCCTGTGTACCGAGCCCGCCCGGCGCCCGACAGCGCTCACGGTCGCGTCGCGACTCTTGCACCTCGCGCTCGCAGACACTGGCGAGGCCGTCGTTGACGTTGCTGCGCACCCGTAGAGTTCTCCTCCGACATCATCAAGACACGACTTATGACAACTTTCTTACCGCCATCTGGGTGCAAGGGCTCGATCGAAAAGGTGTTTGAAACGCAATGATGCACAATGCGTCGACGACATGACACCAGGCAGTGCGGTCCCTTGTCGCCAACCCACTCCTACTGTACCGGTCCACACCAATGCACTCGACTATACAGTGCACTCGTCAACATATCGCATTTGCAACTCGAGATAAAACCATGTTCGACATGGGAAAAAATCAAGAGGCTAGACAAAGTACATGCGGCGGCGCAGGTTCGAATGCACTTCCAAGAGACGCCCCGTGGCTTCGCTGTATACGCTGCTGGCGTTCGACGCCGTGTCGCTGCCGCCGTCCAACTGGAAAAAGCGCGCGCGAAAGGCCACGAGGTGCGAGTAGTAGGCCGCGGGCACAATCGACACCGAGCGCGTGCAGCGCACAAACGTGTAGCACATGCGGAACGTGAGCAGCTGGAGTTCGTCGGCCGTAAAGCCAATCTCATCGAGCAGCACGTGGTAGTGGGCCGGGCGGCTCGTGCCTTGGAGCCCCGCGTGGCTCATCAAGTAAAAGTCGTGCTCGGTCGGGTGGCACACGCCAGTGTCAATGACCGTGCCCGCCTTCACGTTGCCGCTGCGGTCCGCGTCGGCCGCGTTGCCCGCAAAGAAGCGCGTGTGGTGCCGCTTCTGCACAATCACAAACGTAATCGCGGGCGCGTAGCCCGGCTCGAGGGCGGCGCAGGCGCGGCGGAGCGCCGTCACCTCATAGTCGAGCACCATCTGGAACTGGCCTTCGCTCACGCCGTCGCGGTAAAAGAGAATCCGCGCCGGCTTCATGCGCGCTTCCGCGTAAAACGCCTTGAGCATGTCGGTCGCGAGCTCTTCGAGGTCCTGGATCTGCTCGACGCGGTGGCCCTGCTCCTTCATCACCGACGCGTACTTGACCGCGTGGCGGTCGACCGACGCAACGACCGCTGCAATCGACGGCCGCGTCTTGTCCATCGGGCTCGGGTGCGTCACGTCCGCGCCAAACACAATCGTGGGCGCTTGCGACAGCTTCGGCAGCGGGTCCTTGCACACCGTGTTGACGCCACCGAGCTTGGCGTTGACTTTCAGCAGCACGTTGCTAATGTACTGCGCGTTCTTCTTCGGAATGTGCTTGGAGAGCATGCACTGCGACGGAATGCCAAACGTCACGTCCGACGCGCGCTTGAGACCGCCATAAAGACCCGCGTCTTGCATCGGGCTAATGCAAAACACAATCTGCGGCGCCACCTTGTACTGCTTGGTGGCCGCTTGGACCGCGTCGTAAAAGAGGTCCTCGATCGGCGCGTCGCGGCCATTGCGCACCAGCACCGGCGGCATCGCAATCGAGCCCATGCCCAGCTCTTTCGCCTGCTTGAAAACTGCTCAAAGAAATCGTAAATGTCGTCGACCGGCATGCGGCGCGGGTCGCAGAGGCTAATGATCGCGCACGACTTGAGCGCCGACGGCGACTGAAACGTCTTGGCGCGCATGTTCCACTGGCCGCTGCTCGGGCGCTCAAACGTGTTCTTGCCGTACACCATGTCGGGCTCGGGCAGCTGGCGCGCCTCGACCGAGAGCATCGTCGGGCTCACGCGCATGCCAAAGGCCTCGAGGTTGTTGTCGGCCTCGAAATGCGCGCCCTGCACTTGGGCTTCAATGCGGCGGCGACGGTCCTCGGGCGCCGTGCACGTAAACTTGATCATGTTGGCGACTTGGTTCTCGTTCACCTTGCGCATAAGGCGCTGGCCTTCCATCGTCACGCACACCTCCATCGGCATGTAGAGCTGCTTGGTTGGGTTGCCAATGTGAAGGCACGGCAGCTCCGGGTGGCGCAGCGACACTCCATACTGCTTGCGAAAGTAGGCCGCGACCGACGTCGTGTTGCCGTCGTGGTCTTTAAACTTCGAGTCGGTCGCCGACTTGGGCGAGAGGCCATTCACGCGCGCCGTGCGCTTCTGCGTGCCGCGGTGCGTCACCTGGATCTTGACGCCGCGCCACATCTTGTTGGCGAGCGAGTGCTGCGCCTTGCCCCACGTCCGCGGCAGACTCGACCAGTTGCACGTCGAGAGCATAAAGTCGATCGCGGGCATCGCCTCGACAAACGCGGTTGCGGCCATGTCAATGTTGAGTGTGAGCTGCGACTGCGTCGGGCGTAGCGACTGGTGGTACCCGTACCACATCATGGCGCCTTCGCCGAGCGACTGCGCATTCACGTTGCTGAAAAAGTTGCGCCCGACCGCCGTGTAGCGCAGCGACGCAGAGTAGCGCGCGGCCACGTCCAGCGCCTGGAGCGCGTCGTACGGCGTATAGTTGAGCCGGCCGGCAAAGAGCGCTGCAATCTGGCTTGTCCGGACCGCGACCGCGTCCGTCGCCTTGACGACCACGTCAAACGTCTGCGTGCGCTCGTCGTCCGTAAACGTCACCTTGAACGTCTGCTTCTCAAACGGCAGCGGCGTTGATGCGTAGAGGTTGCGGATTGAGTCGGTCACGACCGCCACGCCCGGGACTTCCGTCTTCATAAGCGTCACCAAGTGCATGAGCACCTTGGCGCAGAGATGCTTGGGCGGCAGCTCCTTCAACGGCGCTTTGCCTTCCATGGAGAAGGACGTGTCGTAGTGGTACACGTCGCCGTGGTTCGGGTTCAAGGCCACGCGAAAGTGGTTCGCCCACACGACCGTCTTCTTGCCGACCGTGCCAAAGCCCGGACGGACCGGGTACGGAGTGTTCGTGACCGACCGCAAAGCACCGACTGGTTGGCGCCGGCGGCAGGGCCAAG